AAAGTTTCAATTACAACTAGTGGTGCAAACCGCCATATATAGAGGAAAATTTGTGGTTTGTTTCAAGAGGTGATAGAAGGTCTGCTTGGCTTACATCAGGCATTGAACCATTCACTAACTTGCCACCCGCTACCCAAAAAAGTTCGGTTTTAGGTGCACTATTTAACGAGTTTTGTAGTGATATCGATATGCTTAGAAATTAATACATTAGGGATTAGGCAGCCCATCTGAACTGAATTTAATCCTTTTTGAAGCAAACGAAGGTCGAAGATTTAATTTAGCCACACTATAAAATAGTGTATTTATGGTCACTTGTGTCTGGAGTAAAGTACAACTATAATGTAACCATAAATTCTATAAAAATCTAAACGCATTTTTTATTAATTATTTACACCTGTGTCGTGCATGTGTACGCGACGCCACTGGTTTGGACCCTACCCGAGGTAATCCTTCTTGGATATCGATTTGCAAAATTCTTCTTCGATCCTTCGGATTCTTATAGTAATCTGCTTGAAAGTCTATTTGGATAAAATTTTTACTGCCGCCATGGCGCCTAAGCGCAAAAGAAAAGGGCAATCTCTTGATCCCCCTTCTGATGTAATTAATTTGAGCAATTTTTTGATTTGATTTGCTCACGGATGATGAGAATGATCCATCATCCAGGAAAAAATCTAGTAAACTTTCCCGGCTTAATGCCAAGAAGGAAAAGATTCCCCTATTGTGATAACCACTTCCGATTTCCATTCTCTTCGCACGGAGCTTTTGAACTTCGTGAAATTAAGTTTTCACTGCAAATTGGCCGCCGAGGTGAATGTCGTGAATTGGCTGAAACCTTGGACGGATTCAAATGTCTTCTCAAGTATCTTACTGAGAAGCAGCATAATTTTTTTTACTTACGACACCAAAACTGAACCTGTGTTCAAGGTTGTCTTGAAAGGACTGCCCAGTGTTGAATCCCTGGATCAGTTCAAAGATGAACTGGCAAAATTACTTGGAGCTGTGCCACTCCAAGTAATCAAAATGAAAATGAAATCCCGTCCTGGCGATTCGCGCAACGGGCTTTCTAATGATTTTTATTTAGTTCACTTCAAGTCTAGTGAGCTAAACAACCTTAGGGCCTATGAAAAAGCTAGCCTTATGCTCCATGTCCGAGTGAAGTGGTAACACTTCAGGAAGACTGGAGGAAATTTCCAAAACCTCACCCAGTGCCGTAGGTGCCAGGGATGGGTTCACGGAACTAAAAATTGCTACATGCCAGCTAAATGCATGAACTGTGGTGATTCCTCACACGCAAAGGACGACTGTCCTGTGAAGGAAGATCCTAAGAAATTTAAATATACAAATGGTGGTGGAAACCACAAATCCAATTTTTGGGAATGTAAGACTCGCAAAGCGATCCTACAATCTCGTTCTAAGCGACAGGTAGGAAACGCTCCACGTTTCCGACCAGGTGCAAATTCCTCTACTGGGTTCAATCCCAGTCGGCGCCACTGGGATGTTCTGAGGCATAACATCTCTGATCAAAATCGAGCCGTTGGTCCCCCGGTTCATGGGGTGGGGTCCACGTGTGGGATTTGCCTCCCAGGCGTCGGTAGCATTGGTGCTCAGCACGGAAAACAAGATCGACGAAAAACAAACCATTTTTTTATACCCAGAGGTACAACTATCACCCCTACTTCAAATTTTTCATCTATACCTACTCCCCTCGCTGGTTAACAATGTTCAGCGAGAAAATGGAGCTACCTACGCTGCTATTGCAGCGAGTAGAAATCAAAATACTAGCCAACGTAATTCTAGCGGAATTTTGAAAATTTTGACTTAAGAAGCATTACTGCTCCTAAAATGGAATTTTTACAGAAATCATTAATTGACATTATTACTGATATGCTTAAATCGAACTCCATGTTTGATGCTATTCAAACAGGAGTAAAATTTGCAAACAATATTGTCATGACTTTGAAATTCAGTAATGGATTAATGGATATTTTAAATTGGAATGCTCGATCTCTTAAAGATAATGAAGACGAGCTATTTAACTTTTTGAGAATTCATAACGTGCATATTGCCGTTACAACTGAAACGTTCCTTAAACCTGACCATAAGGTTAAGAAAGACGCAAAATATTTCATTTATAGAAATGATCGTCTTGATGGACCCTGTGGTGGCGTTGCATTGTTCATAGACGAATCAAACATAAAATTCTTTCTTCATTTGAAACCAAAGTTTTTGAAACTTTGGGAGTTTCTGTTGAAACAAAATTTGGACAACTTACGTTTATAGCTGCCTATTTGCCATTCCAATGCGTAGGCCAGCAAAAGAATTTTCTCAAGGGTGACCTCCAGAAACTTACCCGTCATAGGTCTAAATTCTTCATTATTGGTGATTTTAATGCAAAACACCGCTCATGGAATAATGCTCAAAGTAATTCAAATGGTAATATTCTGTTTGATGATTGTTCTGCAGGTTATTACACTATTCAATATCCAAACAGTCCAACATGCTTTATATTTGCAAGAAATCCCTCAACTATTGATTTGGTCTTAACTGATTCATGTCAACTTTGTAGCCAATTGGTTACCCATGCTGACTTCGGTTCTGATCACCTTCCAGTAACTTTTGAAATATCCCAAGAAATAATTTCTAATCCCAACAGCTCTACTTTCAATACCTTTGCAAACCAACATTGAAATTAATTATGCTCTTGAATCTCTGACTACTTCTATAGTTGAAGCAAGAGCTGCCTCAGTACCAAAATGCGAGGTTAAATTCGATTCAATTATAATAGACGATGATCTTCAGCTCTTGATCCGTCTTAAAAATGTCCGTAGGAGACAATATCAAAGAACACGCGATCCTTCGATGAAAGTTATCTGACGGGATTTGCAAAAACAAATTAAAAAGCGATTCTCTGCCCTGAGTAACAAAACTTTTGAGAATAATGTGTCGAAATTAGCCCCGAGTTCCAAACTCTTTTGGAAACTCACAAAAATTTTGAAAAAACTTCAAAAGCCTATTCTAGCGCTTCAAGAAGGAGGTAAAATTTTGATCACAAATTTGGAAAAAAAAACTCAGAATCTTGCTAAGCAATTCGAGAGCTCCCATAATTTCAGTTTGGGTCTTACTAGTCCTATTGAGAATCAGGTTGGTCGGGATTATCTAAATATTTTCTCTCGGGAAAATATTTTTGATGATTCTCGGGGGACTGATTTGGACGAAGTAAGATCTATAACTAAAAAGTTTCAAAATATGAAAGCTCCAGGTGATGATGGAATTTTCTATATCCTCATCAAAAAAACTCCCAGAGAGTACCTTATCTTTCTTGGTAAAATTATTTAACAGATGTTTCCATTTGGCATACTTTCCTGATAAATGGAAAAATGCAAAAGTTGTTCCAATTCTAGCTACCGTCCAATAAGTTTGCTTTCTTCAATAAGTAAACTTTTTGAAAAGATAATTTTAAATAGAATGCTGCTTCACATCAATACGAACTCCATTTTTGCAGATGAGCAGTTTGAATTTCGCCATTGGCATTCACCTACTCATCAACTCTTAAGAGTTTCAAACAAATCTGAAGGCTGCTCAACTGGAGTTGCTCTTCTAGACATAGAAAAGGCATTATCAAATATTCAGGAGTTGGATCAGGAGTTCCTCAGGGTAGCATTCATGGGCCTATATTGCAGAACATTAAAAAAAATTCACTTCGGACCTCCCTGATTCGCCTCAGGGTTGCCACAAATCTTTGTTCGCTGATGACACAGGCATTTCCGCTAAAGGAAGAAGTCTTCGTGTTATTTACAGCAGACTGCAGAAAAGTTTAGATATTTTCCCTTCTTATTTACAAAAATGGAAGATTTCTCCCAACGCTTCCAAAACTCAACTTATAATATTTCCACATAAGCCTAGAGCTTCGTTTTTGAAACCTAGTAGTAGTCACATAGTCACTAGGAACGGAGTTCCAATTTCCTGGTCAAACCAAGTGAAATATCTTAGATTAATACTTGACCAAAAATTAACTTTTAAAGATCACATTGAGGGCATTCAAGCCAAATGTAACAAATATATAATATGTTTGTATCCTCTTATAAACAGGAAATCCAAACTTTGCCTGACGAATAAACTTCTAATATTTAAACAAGTTTTTAGAACGGCCATGCTTTACGCTGTGCCTATATGGTCTTGTTGTTGCACTACCAAGAAAAAAAAACACTTCAAAGGATTCAGAACAAAGTTCTGATGATGATTTTGAAGTTGCCTCCCTGGTACAGTACTACCGAGGTACATAGAATTTCGAATGTTGAGACTTTAGAACAAATGTCCAACGAAATAATTAATAATTTCGGACATCCTCAATTGCAACGATTAATTCCCTTTATACTTAGATAAGATTTAGTTTTAGTTTTTAATCTTAAGATTTCAATTGTTATACTGACATGCAGGTTTTAAAAACCTGTTGAAAGATTTAAAAAAAGGGGTAAAATAAAACGTAATTTATTTTGAATTTGGAAAAAAATGTGAAACTTTAAAAAAAAGGGATTTTTCGAAGAGAAAATCCTAACTTTGATAGCAAAGATTACAACCTCAGAAGAAAGGTTTGTGTATTGCGCTGCTTTCACCTTCACCCAAGTGCAGCGCTGTTGTATCTGTCGCTTGGATACTGGCAAAGTTGCCAGTCTTCTTGATATGATGTCTTCGGCATTAGTCAATATCGAAGCGTAGAACATGTACTGATGAAAGATTTTCCATAAACTAACTGAAGGCCCATGGTTATCTGTTCATTTTTTCGTTTGATTTGATTATGTCGTCGAGTTAAAAGAAGGTTCACCAAATTAAAATAGGTACCAACTTTAAAAAAAAAGTTTTCAGTTGTGATCAACAAAAAGAAAAAATTCGGAGAAAATAATAACCAACAAGTTACGTGTTTCCCCTTTGGCATCCTTACAAGGATAACGAAAAAACACCGGTGAACCTTCTTCGCTGTATAATTAAAAATCTCCACCTACCTTGTAGTAAACATCCGGAACGTACTGCTTGTCGCTCGACTCACGAATATAGCCCAACTCGGGCGCATCCTTGGTAGGAATCAAACAATTATCCCGCACCAGGGCCATACACTGCGCCGTAACGGCGTACCCTTCCATGTGTACTTGCTTCTTGTTGTCACCTAAAAGCGGGCACCGGTTTGAAAGATAATCTACCAGGAGGAAATTTGATTGACCATTCACTTACCCGTGACGCAAACCGTGACAAACTTCGACCCAAAGAACCCACCGGTTGCGTACTTGCAACGATTGGGGTACTTGTTCTGCAAGTGACCAGCCAGGATGCACTCCTGCGCCGTCAGGAAATGGGTCTTTATTCCTCGAACATGTTTGACCGTACCGGCGGCAGCATCATCGGCCAGCAGATCGGTAAAAATCCATCCGACGCGGCGTAATCCCAGCAGACCGGCCATTTCGTCCACTTCCGATTCGTGTTCGTCGTCCAGGAGGAGAATCGAATCACGGGTACTTTCCTGCGGCGGCTCGTAGATTGCGGCCACGCGGGCTCGAATGCCCAGGGGGACATCCGGATGCACTTCGTATGTACCGAACAGCATTCCGATACGCTGGTGGCCGGTGGTGCGCCAATAGTTGAGGAATCGCTCGACGATTCCGGTGTTTTCGAACATGACGTTATCGATGTGCCGATAGGCCTGCCGATTCAGGGTGATGGCCGACGGTTGACACTTGGAGCAGATGCCCTTGGGCCATGGTGGATGATCCCGGCAGCCGGTTTTGATCTTACAGTTAAGATCCTCCAGGGCAACAAACTTACCGCGATCAACGCCGGAGGTGAGCTTTTTCAAGTGTGAATGGAACGAGAAGTGTTTGATCTTCTGCTCCTTGAGGTAGGTCTCGTCCCACGGTTCCAACGGGGAGCAGTGGACGCAACAGCCGTTCGAGTTGTGTCGGCATCTGGATGGTGGAAAAGGGAAGGGGGTCAATGTTAATTAAGATTGAGATATGGTCCCTGAATGGTCAATGAATTACAGCTTTTCATCTCGTTTTCTTTGAATTCTACCGTCCTGCTTGTACAGTTCAACATCGACGGAATCTTCTCCGTTCACCACTGCTGAGGCAGCAGCACCGTAACTGGTGCTGGGTGTTGCTTCCCGACTGAAACCTGCTGCCCCACTAAACGAGGAGCTACTTGTGGAGGCAATCGATGCTGCGGAGGAACTTCTTTCCTGAAAATTATGCGACAGTGAGGAAGAACTGTGGACAACGGCCTGACTGCTACTTACAGGTTCCTTGGAAGTTGACGGCCCAGCAATATGCTTCAGATAAATCATATCCCCATGCTTCAGGCCGTTTTCCTTGACCGTCTGAGATCTACTGGATACAAGCTACAAAGAAGGCAGTGTTACAAGATCAGATTCAAATTGAAATAATTCCATCGAATAAAACCTCTTTTGTGCAGTTTCTCTCCTTGTAGAGTGCAAATCCATAGTCGCTGAAAGCGAACGTGCCATGCACGAGCTTGTACAATTCCCTTAGATTGCTTGTATCGGCAATTTCCACTCGCTTGGTCCCGTCAGGAGATTGAACCCGGAGTACCTGCAAAATAAATCATCAAATAGTAGAATGCGAAAGATACCACCCACTACATCCTAAGTCCTGCCAACACTGCTGGTCGCAACAGAATCAAAACAATCGGATCCTGCTTCTTCGTGGTTGAGGTTAATTTGAATAAACAGGACAAAACCCGGAACCAAAACAATACCGGTCATGGTTGATTTCCAACCAAATAGAAGGCTAAATTCTCCCCAACCCGGCAAAATCATTTATCGTCTCTTTGCTCAACCAACCCCCGCATTCCATCCACCAAGGTAATGACATATCACTTTTCCGTACGTCATTCCTTTCTTCTTTCAATTCGAACCATCATTCAAAGAAGCGATACAATAAAGAGGAAAACTTCTACTCACAATGTTGCCACCTTTGGACATCTTGAGCCTGATGCTGCTTCCCTCGGTTCCCGGAACACAATCCTCTACTCAACTTCTGTGCTGGGATAACTTAATGCACTAGCAATGTCTCGCACTAGGCAAGGGAATAAGAAATGTATTGCTGATCCGGCTGATCCACAGATGTAACTTCTAATTTTGCGGAGTAAAGAAGAATAACGAGAAGAGTCAGTACTGCAGCTGTCAAACTGTTGTACACTGGAAAAAATATTGAAGCTAAATCGTATGCAAACTTCAAATGATATTATGCCATCAAAACGGAGCCTTCAAGATGACCACAAAATCTTGAGAAAAAAAAGACTAGATGATGCAGATTTGAAAATTTTGCACGGTGAGGTATGGCATTGCAATTTTAGAATGCTTCTATTCCTCAATTATAGCTTTTAATTAATTTGTCGATGCTTTTACGGGGGATAAAAACTAAATAGCTACTCAATAGACGCGTTATATTAAAGATTTAATGAAATCGGTTCAAATAACTAAATTTCGATTTATCCCCCATAGTAACACGCAAATTAATTAAAAGTACTTCAAAAGAAAAATATAAAACAAGTTGAAAATGTGTCAAAAAGTTGTTGTTTAATGATTTTAGTTAATGTTTGAGCGTCTAGCTTAAAAATTTCACAGAAGATAGAATGTTTCATAACCTTTTTAATTAAATATATTCATAAAATATTGAAGAGGGCATTTTTTGTTTATTTGTGTTTTAAACTCTTTTTCAGATTTTTTGCCCAAAATTACTATTTATTCCTACAACTCTGTTCATACGACATTTCGATTGGAAGTGATGTTTTCGAGTATTGGATGGTTGAACAATTTCGAATACACCGAATTTAATCTCAATTGTGAATGATTGACCATAACAAACAATTATGCAAAATTAAATACAAATGGGGAAATGTTGCCCCAGATCGATTCGTCATTTGGCGCGGAACTGCTCAACTTCAAAGAGATTAAAATAATTTTAGGGAACAGCTAAACATTTTCGGAAAGTTCTTCAAACTCAAGCGAAATTTTAAGCTTCAGTAAAGTTCTGCAAATCCTAGGGACGTTCTGCGAATTTCAGGACATTTTTATGAAGAATTCAAGGAAATCGAACCTGATATGTTAGTTCTACAAACCCCAGGAAAGTTGTACGAACTTCAATAAAGCTCTCCGAACTCAAGGAAATTTTTTTGAACTTCTATAAAGATCTGTAAAATTCTTGCACACTTCAGAGAAACAGAGCAGTTCTACAAACTTCATAAAAAAAATCTGCAAACACGTCTTTAAGTGCTTCGGATTTCAGAGAAGATCTTCAAACTTTAAGAGAAGTACTGCAAGCTTCTGGAAAGTTCTGAAACCTTGAGAGAAATTCTGCAAACTACAGGGAAGTACAACGTCCTTCTGGTAAGTCGTACAAACTTCAACAGAGTTGTGTGAATTCTCACAATTGGGTTGTTCGATTTTGAATTTCGGTTATTATACACCATCTGAAACTGATGTCAAGTGACGCATCGTTAGACCCCAGGGAATAGGGAAATCGTGTAGTGAAGCGCATGCAATTCTAACCCGGTATCGATCCCGGTTAGACGCCACTGACATCTAGGAAACATGGAAGAAGTTTTTGGCTAACAACCGTTATGCCATACTGGAAAACGACGAAAAACCGACAGTGGGAAAAGAAGCCGAAAGGGAATCCCAGACGGCGATGAACAACTACAACTCGCCAAGCCACTCATGGTGACCCTGCGTGGCCGCCCGGCCATGCAACCAGTTGAATTTGGTCCACATCGTGACGTCACACGATGCACGAACTACTTGCTGTTAGGCTATACATTTCTTTTCTTCTTGCCAGTGCGAGACATTGCTAGTGCATTTAACCGTAGTCAACTACTCTGGCTTATGTAAGTAAACTTTTGCCCGTCCGCGCTGCACAATCGGTTAGCCGACAAACCGTGATCCAAACCTGCAACGATGATGTGAGACAACAACACACACAATAGATGCAAGTTAGCCCCCAAGCATAAGTCACAATCCCTATCTACCGTGTTTGTACTTTTGCACCGCGAGAAATCTAACTGCTGCTGACTGGCTCTTACGGTTCTTCCTGCTACTAGCTCTCAGCCGCTTCGGTATGAGATTGCGAAAAATAAACACTAATCACCAACAAATAAAGCAAAAGCGTAAACCAACATATAAACAAACTTCACTCTTTTCTAAACCTTCGGACGAATGAAAACTGACGTGCAGCTGGTTGCTGACAGCTGTAAAAAATTCGCGACTTTTTTTTTCCTGCATCCAGCAAGGGGCTCGTGAACACCGATGATTACGTATCATAATTCAATATTTTATATACATTGGCAGATTTTTATCTTTGACATTCATTTGTAATCTCCAGCATTATTTTCAATAATTATAATGGCAAATAATACAAATTATTCGAATTTTCAGCGTGAATTTGGTTAGATTTATTGAATACTTGATTGATTACATCATCACGATATTTGACACACGGACCCCTCCTCGCACTATGTGTTTGCAGCGAAAAAGTCGCTGAATGTGTTGCAAGTTTGAGCGGGATGGTTCGATGTGGGTCAAAACTGTATACACTCGCAAAAAATATACCTCGAAATATGAGAATCAGATTGTTTGAAAGTACGGGAAATACTTTTTAGCACTTTGTGTCCGAAAAGTGGTATTTTTCCGAGGGGGACGACTCTATCTACGATGCAAAAAAGATTGTGTTTTGCTGTGGCTAGCTGCGCGCACGCTGAGTAGATAGAAAGAAGATTGATGACGATTCTGAAGATTTCCTGCAACAAATTGATGAGCGATGCAAGCAGATGCGACAAATGAAAGAAGATTGTTCGAAGATTGATTCGCTAGTGTGAGATTTGTTGACCATCTAAACTTGAGATTTAGATGTGTCGCCCCCCTCGTATTTTTCGACACTCTTTTGAGTGAAAAAAAGCTTTTTAGGCAACAAGTATCAAAAAGAAGATATCAAAGATTTTTTCAGTACGAGTCGTTATTCAATGATGCCGCGTTGGATTTTTGTGATCTGAATTGGTTAAAAAATAAATAAATAATGGAACAACGAAATATCAATGCTGAATTTCGAGCACATAAAAATAACGAAGTAATGAAATTGGGTTGTTAGCGGAATGCTTAAATAAAACAGCAAAAAAGATTATCTTCCATTTAATTCCACTTAATTAATTTTGGTATCCATGACAGATACATATTTCGACTACAATGTGCATTCTTCATCAGTGTCGTTCCGACTAAAGAACTAATCAAAATCTTACCCCCTTAAATACTCATTTCCTAGGTAAAAAAAATCCATCTAGCCACCACAGTAAAAATTCTCCTGCAGTTTAGATACAACATGAACAAAGAAAGCCCTTCTCCAATGAAGTCTGCTCGATTGAACCATGTATGCGCAAACCTGCTACACTTAATCTCGAACTTCAACGTGTTCAAAAGCGATTCAAACAAAATTCTTCTAACCTAACGGAACTTAAGCCATCGAGCAAAGTATTTCCTCTTGCACCTAACACTCCGTATCGACCGATACAGTCCAAATGACTTCAGCTAATCGACCCAATGTTCCAACTCCTGGGGGGGACGTGCTGTCAAATCAGCCTACTGATCAAGAACCAACTCTCCGAACAAAAATCGTGATTGTGACGTCGCAACTTTATTGTCTCCGGTGCCTGAAGCTTCGGGTACACGGGACCACACTACTACCCATAAAGTTTGCCCCGCTTACTAATACATTCGTAAGAGGTAAAGAGCCTAAATTTATAAAGAGGCGACATGTCAAAATTGGAACAATCGATTGTCTGTCAAAGTCATAGGAAAAGTCATTCCAATCGAGCAGAAGACCTGTCAAATGGATAAGGTGTCGTCTCTTTATAAATTCAGGCACTGCCTCACCTATTGGAAGATTGCCGCAAAAGCTCAACGCAGATTTCGCCACTGCATGATGATGATGCATATAAAATTCGTGAAAATTAGCATTAAATCATAATTTTAATCAAGCCTGCGTGAAATCCTTCCAATATAACATTCGAATTGAAGAAGAAAACGTTTTTACGATCAGACTGATGTGCATCTTTGACTTTTCCAGGTGAACTTTCATAAGATATCTCTAATAAACAAATACCATAAACAAACTGTATCCCGGATGGGTAAACTATCCCACAAATGGTTTGGATGATACCCCGAACACGTTGTTAAGCTCTCTTTTAGGGTTATTTTTATTAGGGATATTCATTTCATTTCACGGCTCCATCAATGCTGCATCGTAAATATGATGGTAAACAGAAGTAAATTGCTTAGTTACTCAAAATAAAGATGATTTGTCATCTTGTTATCACTTTGAAAACCATCTAGCACCATTTTATAGTACGGTGCGTGTTGAGTAAATCAAGTTCCGTTGCGTTTTCCGTCGAAAATTGTGAGTATCCACATGTTTGCCTAAAAAATGCCAAAATGAACATTTATTGAATATTGGCGTCCTATAAACCATTTCTCCATTATCACCAGCATGATACAATCTTTCCTAAGAGCAACCGTACCAATGAGTAAATACCCAACTAACATTTTCAGCTTTGTAAGCCAACTTTTCCAGCGTTGTGCTGTAAAGTAGCTGAAAAGAAGCTGCAGATACAGCTACAAGCAAAAGCTAGCAAAATATTTTTGGAGAGCGTTTATTCAACTTTCTCACAACCATTATTCAATTTGTCAGTCGCACTGAATAACATCAGCCAATAAACGCTTATGTCACTTCTATACACACACTAATCAACTTTCAACTTGTAGCTGCAAAACAAAGCTAACTTGATGGGGACTTCTCTAGCCTCGCCTGAGTGTTTGACTATTGACTATTGATTGCATACTTTTAGGCGCCAGGGGACTTAATGCAGAAAAGAGAAGTCCACACACCAAGGCCTATAACCAAGGCCATGATGGGGACTTCTCTTCTCATACACAACACACACGTCTCGACGGACGCGCGCGCTCACCACCACCTTCTACACAACCAACCACTCTTGCTGAATAACATAAACATCAAAAGTGCTTTTTCAACAACTAAACAACCTGTACTCAGCTAATAAACTGTGTTAGAGCGACTTCGGAAGCATTTTCACAGTCAACTAGGTTTATTTTTAGACGTGTGCAGTTTAACAGCTTTTACTCTGCTCTTTTATAACTAATCGAGAAAATTGATTCATGTGTACTATTATAAAGTTTCTACTCAGCGATTTTGTTGTAGAAGCGAATGTTGATTTGTTTACATAAGTTCAAAGTGTTGGCGTAGCACAGTTGGTAGTGTCAAGGTTTGCCAATGAGGTCGTCTCGAGTTCGATTCCAGGTTCCGGTGCAGGGTAAATAATTTGGTGATGATTTGTAACTAATTTCGATTAATTTGATTCACAGCAAAAAAAAAACTCAATAAATTCCTTCATATAATAAAACGTAAACAGTATTTAACCCGGCTTCAAGAGAAAGCTGTGTAGTGATTATTGGACAACCGAGAAAAGGTTGAATAAGCGCCTTTCTAGTTCACACACAACTAAACAGCAGGATAACAGCTGTATAGAATCGTTAATGGATATGCAATAAGAGCTTCTCCCGACCGTTCCAACAGCCATAAGTAGCTGACTAAGTTCGCCAGATTTGCTTGTATAGAGGTTGAGTAAAGGTTTCCTCATATTGTATAACAATTAAATACAGCTTGAGGCTGTATAAATGAAATGAGTAAAGCGTTTACATTGCGAAAATTGTTAGTTGGGTAAGGCACATTTACCAACCTCTACCATAACGCTACTTGCGTACCGGAGGTTGCTATTCAGGTGGGGGAAATAGCAATCCGCACCTTGGAAAGTAGAGAGTTCATAAATTTAGCAACCCGGTAGCAACGCATCAGACGGTTGCTATTTTGAATAAACGTCAAAAGTTTGTTTTGCCGGTGTGGAAAACGGTAACTAAAATTATGACTCTGATAGCAACGACCGGTGTGGAGAGGAGTGATCAAGCCAAAATGGAAACGCTGTGCGTAAGTAAAATAGTGCCGCAAATGGCAACGACTGGTACGGTTGCTCTAAGTAAATTCACTTAATTTCCACTTTCATCCTAGTGGAAATCGCACATATTCACCATTTTCCGAAAAATGCAGCTGCGCAGGAGGTAACCTCTAGCTGTGGGTGCAAACTTGTTATGCATAATTTTCCATGAAAACATCTCCGATCCATACTGAAATAATAACAGTTTGTTTGCAAACACGTTTTCTTACACGATTCAAGCAAAATTTTCCACGGGAAATTATTAGTTTATCCTTATGGACCGATTTTTGCCTAAAAAATCGTCTGTTTAACTTGGAGAATTTGGAAGTATCCTCCTTCTAGTAGTTATCACTTCGAAGTGTAGGTGGCGAAAGCTTGGAATAGTTTCACTGCAAGATGGCACATTGAGTTCTCCAAGCAGGATCTCACGAACACTAAACTAATAACATAATTTTACACACACTAGCGTATACTGTCATGTGCACGGTAATAATCAAACTTCCATTTATGAGTAAAAGTGAACCCATTGTCAATAAAAGCGGCACCACTAATTAATGAGTAATTCATTATGCCAATTAAGTAGTAACTGTTAGCTAATGTTAGCAGAAATTCATTGTTGTTAAAATAATTTACTCATTAATGAGTAAAACCACCTTTATCAAAAATGGGTTAACCTTTACTCACAAAAGGGTATTTGACTGTTACCATGCAAGCGTAGGGTTTGTTTTCGTTTTGTTGTTTATTTTTACTTTAGAATGACAGTTCTTACAGCAAACAAAAAATTTCTCATAGCTAACAAAAAATTTCATCTCACTAACACACGCAAATCGCACCAATACGAACCCGGCTGGAGAGGACTATTAGGTTCTGCAGCGTGACGTCACGAATGAACTCAGTGTTAATCGGCTGAACCTTTTTGACAGTTCAGTGGTACTGTTTACAAGCACTTAGTCGTTTTTTCGAAAAAAAAATTCTAAAATTTCCAAATTTTAACTTGAAAATTGTTGAGGAACAGCGCGGTGAAAAGATGTTGCTCGTGGACAATGCAGAAGTGTGGTTTACATCTCACTG